GTGATCAGTGGAACTTTGCCCCCTTGTGCTGGTGGTCTAGTGAAACTTTGCCCCCTTGTGCTGGTGATCAGTGGAACTTTGCCCCCTTGTGCTGGAGATCAGTGGAACTTTGCCCCCTTGTGCTGGTGGTCAGTGGAACTTTGCCCCCTTGTGCTGGTGGTCAGTGGAACTTTGCCCCCTTGTGCTGGTGTCAATGGAACTTTGCCCCCTTTGTGCTGGAGGTCAGTGGAACTTTGCCCCCTTGTGCTGGTGGTCAGTGGAACTTTGCCCCCTTGTGCTGGAGGTCAGTGGAACTTTGCCCCCTTGTGCTGTGGTCAGTGGAACTTTGCCCCCTTGTGCTGGTGGTCAGTGGAACTTTGCCCCCTTGTGCTGGTGGTCAGTGGAACTTTGCCCCCTTGCTGTGCTGTGTGGTGCCCCTTGTGCAGTGGAACTTTGCCCCCTTGTGCTGGTGGTCAGTGGAACTTTGCCCCTTGTGCTGGTGGTCAGTGGAACTTTGCCCCCTTGTGCAGTGTTTGCCGTGGTCAGTAACTTTGCCCCTTGTGCCGGTGGTCAGTGGAAACTTTGCCCCCTTGTGCGATGGTCAGTGGAACTTTGCCCCTTGTGCCGATGGTCAGTGGAACTTTGCCCCTTGTGCCGATGGTCAGTGGAACTTTGCCCCCTTGTGCCAGTGGTCAGTGGAACTTTGCCCCCTTGTGCCGATGGTCAGTGGAACTTTGCCCCCTTGTGCTGGTGTTCAGTGGAACTTTGCCCCCTTGTGCTGGTGTTCAGTGGAAATTTTCCCCTTGTGCTGGTGATCAGTGGAACTTTGCCTCCTTGTGCTGGTGGTCAGTGGAACTTTGCCCCCTTGTGCCAGTGGTCAGTGGAACTTTGCCCCCTTGTGCCAATGGTCAGTGGAACTTTGCCCCTTGTGCTGGTGTTCAGTGGAACTTTGCCCCCTTGTGCTGGTGGTGTCAGTGGAACTTTGCCCCCTTGTGCTGGTGATCAGTGGAACTTTTCCCCTTTGTGCTGGTGGTCTATGGAACTTTGACCCCTTGTGCCGGTGGTCAGTGGAACTTTGCCCCCTTTGCTGGTGGTCAGTGGAACTTTGCCCCCTTGTGCTGGTGGTCAGTGGAACTTTGCCCCCTTGTGCTGGTGTTCAGTGGAACTTGGCCCCCTTGTGCTGGTGGTCATGGAACTTTGCCCCCTTTTGCTGGTGGTCAGTGGAACTTTGCCCCCTTGTGCTGGTGGTCAGTGGAACTTTGCCCCCTTGTGCTGGTGGTCAGTGGAACTTTGCCCCCTGTGCTGGTGGGTCAGTGGAACTTTGCCCCCTTTGTGCTGGTGGTCAGTGGAAACTTTGCCCCCTTGTGCTGGTGGTCAGTGGAACTTTGCCCCCTTGTGCCGGTGGTCAGTGGAACTTTGCCCCTTGTGCCGATGGTCAGTGGAACTTTGCCCCCTTGTGCCGTGGTCAGTGGAACTTTGCCCCCTTGTGCCGATGGTCAGTGGAACTTTGCCCCCTTGTGCTTGTGTTCAGTGGAACTTTGCCCCCTTGTGCTGCTGGTGTTCAGTGGAACTTTGCCCCTTGTGCTGGTGGTGTGGAACTTTGCCCCCTTGTGCTGTGGTCAAACTTTGCCCCCTTGTGCTGGTGTGGTCAGTGGAACTTTGCCCCTTGTGCCAGTGGTCAGTGGAACTTTGCCCCCTTGTGCCAGTGGTCAGTGGAACTTTGCCCCTTGTGCTGGTGGTCAGTGGAACTTTGCCCCCTTGTGCTGGTGGTCAGTGGAACTTTGCCCCTTGTGCTGGTGGTCAGTGGAACTTTGCCCCCTTGTGCTGGTGGTCAGTGGAACTTTTGCCCCCTTGTGCTGTGGAACTTTGCCCCCTTGTGCTGGTGGTCAGTGGAACTTTGCCCCCTTGTGCTGGTGACTCAGTGGAACTTTGCCCCCTTGTGCTGGTGGTCAGTGGAACTTTGCCCCTTGTGCTGGTGGTCAGTGGAACTTTGCCCCCTTGTGCTGGTGGTCAGTGGAACTTTGCCCCCTTGTGCTGGTGGTCAGTGGAACTTTGCCCCCTTGTGCTGGTGGTGGTCAGTGGAACTTTGCCCCCTTGTGCTGGTGGTCAGTGGAACTTTGCCCCCTTGTGCTGGTGGTCAGTGGAACTTTGCCCCCTTGTGCTGGTGGTCAGTGGAACTTTGCCCCCTTGTGCTCGTGGTCAGTGGAACGTTGCCCCCTTGTGCTGGTGGTTCAGTGGAACTTTGCCCCCTTGTGCTGGAGATCAGTGGAACTTTGCCCCTTGTGCTGGAGGTCAGTGGAACTTTGCCCCTTGTGCTGGTGGTCAGTGGAACTTTGCCCCCTTGTGCTGGTGATCAGTGGAACTTTGCCCCTTGTGCTGGTGGTCTAGTGGAACTTTGCCCCCTTGTGCTGGTGGTCAGTGGAACTTTGCCCCCTTGTGCTAGTGGTCAGTGGAACTTTGCCCCCTTGTGCTGGTGGTCAGTGGAACTTTGCCCCTTGTGCTGGTGGTCAGTGGAACTTTGCCCCCTTGTGCTGGTGGTCAGTGGAACTTTGCCCCCTTGTGCTGGTGGTCAGTGGAACTTTGCCCCCTTGTGCTGGTGGTCAGTGGAACTTTTTGCCCCCTTGTGCTGGTGGTCAGTGGAACTTTGCCCCCTTGTGCTGGTGGTCAGTGGAACTTTGCCCCCTTGTGCTGGGTCAGTCAGTGGAACATTGCCCCCTTGTGCTGGTGGTCAGTGGAACTTTGCCCCCTTGTGCTGGTGGTCAGTGGAACTTTGCCCCCTTGTGCTGGTGGTCAGTGGAACTTTGCCCCCTTGTGCTGGTGGTCAGTGGAACTTTGCCCCCTTGTGCCGATGGTCAGTGGAACTTTGCCCCCTTGTGCCTTTGCCCCCTGTGCAGTGGAACTTTGCCCCCTTGTGCCGATGGTCAGTGGAACTTTGCCCCCTTGTGCTTGTGTTCAGTGGAACTTTGCCCCCTTGTGCTGGTGTTCAGTGGAAATTTTCCCCTTGTGCTGGTGATCAGTGGAACTTTGCCTCCTTGTGCCGGTGGTCAGTGGAACTTTGCCGTGGAACTTTGCCCCCTTGTGCCAATGGTCAGTGGAACTTTGTCCCCTTGTGCCAATGGTGGTCAGTGGAACTTTGCCCCCTTGTGCTGGTGTTCAGTGGAACTTTGCCCCCTTGTGCTGGTGTTCAGTGGAACTTTTCCCCTTGTGCTGGTGATCAGTGGAACTTTTCCCCCCTTGTGCTGGTGGTCATGGAACTTTGACCCCTTGTGCCGGTGGTCAGTGGAACTTTGCCCCCTTGTGCCGGTGGTCAGTGGAACTTTGCCCCCTTGTGCTGGTCAGTGGAACTTTGCCCCCTTGTGCTGGTGGTCAGTGGAACTTTGCCCCTTTGTGCTGGTGGTCAGTGGAACTTTGACCCCTTGTGCTGGTGGTCAGTGGAACTTTGCCCCCTTGTGCTCTGTGGTCAGTGGAACTTTGCCCCCTTGTGCTGGAGATCAGTGGAACTTTCCTTGTGCTGGTGGTCAGGGAACTTTGCCCCCTTGTGCTGGTGTCAGTGGAACTTTGCCCCCTTGTGCTGGTGGTCAGTGGAACTTTGCCCCTTGTGCTGGTGGTCAGTGGAACTTTGCCCCCTTGTGCTGGTGGTCAGTGGAACTTTGCCCCCTTGTGCTGGTGGTCAGTGGAACTTTGCCCCTTGTGCTGGTGGTCAGTGGAACTTTGCCCCCTTGTGCTGGTGGTCAGTGGAACTTTGCCCCCTTGTGCTGGTGGTCAGTGGAACTTTGCCCCCTTGTGCTGGTGGTCAGTGGAACTTTGCCCCTTGTGCCAGTGGTCAGTGGAACTTTGCCCCTTGTGCTGGTGGTCAGTGGAACTTTGCCCCCTTGTGCTGGTGGTCAGTGGAACTTTGCCCCCTTGTGCTGGTGGTCAGTGGAACTTTGCCCCCTTGTGCTGGTGGTCAGTGGAACTTTGCCCCTTGTGCTGGTGGTCAGTGAACTTTGCCCCCTTGTGCTGGTGGTCAGTGGAACTTTCCCCTTGTGCTGGTGGTCAGTGGAACTTTGCCCCCTTGTGCTGGTGGTCAGTGGAACTTTGCCCCCTTGTGCTGGTGTCAGTGGAACTTTGCCCCTTGTGCTGGTGGTCAGTGGAACTTTGCCCCTTGTGCTGGTGGTCTGGAACTTTGACCCCTTGTGCTGGTGGTCAGTGGAACTTTGCCCCTTGTGCTGGTGGTCAGTGGAACTTTGACCCCCTTGTGCTGGTGGTCAGTGGAACTTTGCCCCCTTGTGCTGGTGGTCAGTGGAACTTTGCCCCCTTGTGCTGGTGGTCAGTGGAACTTTGCCCCCTTGTGCTGGTGGTCAGTGGAACTTTGCCCCCTTGTGCTGGTGGTCAGTGGAACTTTGCCCCTTGTGCTGGAGGTCTATGGAACTTTGACCCCCGTGCTGGTGATCAGTGGAAGCTCTGTTGTGTTTTTCTTGTAAGACAAATGATGTTGATGTATGGGTTGTTTTGCTCTAAAGGGGGGGGGGTTCTAAGCATTTTTTTAGGAAAGAAATGCTGTTTTGAAATGTAGGAGAGACGTGTTGTAATAGGCTTGTGGTTGCAGCGATTACCTTGGACTCGGAGATTGTGGGGGGGTGACAACGCAGTGTAAATAAAGTCAGCATTGTCCCAAGCACACTATTTCTTGTACCCGGAACAGGTTTTGTCACACTGTAGTCCATGAACAGTGGCCTAGCTTCGCACACACAGCAGAGACCAGCAGGCAGTACCCCTACATGTCCAGCACAGTCCTAGCTCAGGGACCTAGTTCACTCATTCAAAGTTCTATTCCAGGCCGGGAGCCGTCAGTGAGCGCCACATCACTCCACACCGCCTCTTCCCGCATTGTCACCGCTCTGCCCAGTCTCGACTTAGCCAGTGGGGGAGGGAGCGCGTCCTGCCAATCACACAACCCCCACAAACTGATTGGCCCGCTCCACCAACAGGAAGTAGTCAAGGAACGTCAGCGTGTGATTGGGCGCGGTCACTGTGCATTCGGGGCTGTGTGCACTTCCGGATCCCTGGTGTCAGCTCTGCGGGAGGACGCATACAATGCCGGGAGAATGGGAGCCGCTGAGAAGTTGTGACCCGGGGGAGAGAGCCGGGAGACGGAACGGGAAACAGGAGCTACAGGCGGACACAGAGCCCCGGGGAAGTCGGCAGCTGGGTAAGAGGCGGCTGTACCGGCAATGGGATCCCCCCACCCCCGTACTGCCATCAGCTGGACAGGGACTGGGCTCTGCCTGCTGTCCTCCCACCTCACCCTCCATCATAGGGGACAGTGTGGGGATCAGTGTCCACGGACAGGCCCTCAGTCCCACTATACCTGGAGCTTCTCATACACCGAGAGTCACAGAGAAGCTTCAGGGATGGCTGAGAGTTTATAGGAAACATCCTTAGCCAGCCCCTCCCACCTGGGTCATGTGATGGGCTCTGCCTGTACTGCTGTAGGGATTGGAGTATATTGCACATTGTCCTCTGTACAGTCCAGCTAAAGGTGTTTCCATCTTGGATGGAGTAAGGGAGGGATATGACCCCTTCTGTGTGGCTTTTTATTTAGCATCTTTCTACCATTGGGGAGATTTCCCTTCACTTCCTGCCCCATAACCAAAACAGGAAGTGAAGGGAAATTCCTTCAAAGTGAGGGGGGAATCATGGGTTGTCACCAGAAGTAGTATCCTAATTGGAAGATTTTCCCTCTTTTACTGTACTGGGCACAACCCAAAATGTGGAATTGTCTTTCACTTTCAGTGATAAAGATAAATAGTCTGAATCTCCCTGGTGGGGAAAACTGTCATTTGATCTAATCCCTCTTCACGCTCTCCATAACAAAAAAAAAGTTTTTGCCTTTAGTTATTTTAACCACTTAGTTGTGGAAGGTTTTCCCCCTTCATGACCAGACCATTGTTTGCTATTAGGCACTGCTCTGCTTTAACTGGTAATTATTATTATACAGGATTTATATAGTGCCAACAGTTTGCTCAGCGCTTTACAATATAACGGGAGTCAATACAAGAGGGATAGGAGGGCCCTGCTCCTTGGAGCTTACAATCTAGGTGATTGTACAGTCATGCAACACTGTACCCCAATGAAATATAGGATTTGTTTTCACACAAACTGAGCTTTCTTTTGTTGGTATTTGGTATCACCAGTAGGTTATTTTATAAACAACATTTGAAAAAAAAAATATTTTACTTTCTGCTGTAAACTATATCTAATAAAATCAAATTTCTGCATGAATTTAGGCCAAGTTTAGACTACATTTTTATTTATTTTTATACTGGTAATGGTGGAGGTGAGCGACTTTTAGTGGGACGTAACAGTGTGACTGGCAATCTGACACTAACTGGTGCTGGCTGGGAGATATATTGACATCACCAATGACACAAATACAGTGATTGATGATACTATACACTGTCACTGTACTAATGACACTGGCTGGGAAGGGGCTAACATCCTGGGGTAATCAAGTGTTAATGTGTGTATCATGTGCTGCTTTTTACTAAATATCTGTTTGTTCCATCGCCTTGCATTGCAGGGAGAAGAAAACAAAAAGATTGTTCCCTCTGTGCAGAGTCCTGTGTTGTTCGTCAACACAAGGCTGTGATTGGACACAGTCAATTAGCAGATCTCACCCATGTATCATTGGTTGAAACCTTTTGACAAAAAAGATTGGACACAGCGTGAGTTGGCTGGGGGGAGGGGGCACCCTGAACCCAGAAGACCCTGTCAATGTGCAGATACATGACTTTGCCTGTACGAGCCGCCTGCAGTGAAGTGTGTGGGCTGGAAGTGGTTAAAGTAAAACTAAAGGCAAACTTTTTTTTCTTTCCATTTCCGATAGAGTAAGGGAAGAATATAACTTCTGTCAGGTTATTTTTTTGTCTTCGGTGTCCTATTGGTCCCATAACCAAAACAGGAAGTTTTAAGGAATCTTTTGGGTGTCACCAGAACTAGTGTCCTCATTGGAAGATTTCTCCTTTATTACTATTCTGGGACAACCTAAAATGTGTAATTTTTCTTTTTCTCACTTTTGATAATGGTAAACATGAGAAATGGGGTGAATGTCCCTAATGGGGGACAAACATTAATAAAAACCTGACTGGGGTTCTTATCCCTCTCTACTCTATCCATAACTAAAAGTCTAGCCTTAGGTTCCACTTTTAAAGTAGAATTCCCCCCAACACCTATTCCGACTAGTCTCTGTAAGAAAGATCTGTATACTTGCCTGTTTTCAGGCTGCTCTGTTTCGGTCATGTGATTTCCCCAGCAGCCACCGCCGCTGGCTGGCAAACTGGTGCCAGATCACATGACCAGACCGAAGCGGGACAAAAAGGTAAGTATCCAGAACTTTTGTTACACGGGTTTGTCAGAATTGGTGATAGGATGTGAAGGTGGGGGTATTTTTAAGAGTGGAATTGACCGGAATTGTACTTTAACCACTTGTCCTCCAGAGGATCCCCCCTCCTGACCAGGCTATCTTTTTGGGATACAGCACTGCGTTACTTTAACTGACAATTGCGCGGTCATGCAACGCTGTACATAAATGAAATGTATGTCCTTTTTTTTTTCTTTTTTTTTCCCCCACAAGTATAGCTTTCTTTCAGTAGTATTTGATCACCTGTGGTTTTTTTTTTTTTGTTTTTTTTTTTTGCCCTATAAACAAAAAAAGACTGGCAATTTTGAAAAAAAAAAACAATATTTTTGACTTTTTTTGCTATAAAACATATCCAGTAATAATCAAATTTCTTCATAAATTTAGACCAAAATGTATTCTGCTACATGTCTGCTAAAAAATAATCCCAGTACTTGTAAATGAATTGGTTTACGTGAAAGTTATAGCATTCACAAATGGCGGGGTATATATATACTGGAATTTATTTACTTTTATTTTTTTTATACTACCAATGGCTGCGATCAGCAACTTAAAGCAGGAGTGCTAATAAAAAGCACTGACACTGTACAAAAGTAAAAGCAGAGTGATACGCTAAAACACACCACTCTGCTCCATGCTGGAGTTCGCTGGCAGTTGCCCGCACGGTAAAAGGCTACTTTGTAGACTGGTATGAACCGGGATAAAATGTGATACATGCATTAGTTTTATATTTATTTTTTATGCTTTTTTTTTTTCTTTTATTTTAACCTGGTGATCTGGCCAGTAAACACTTCCTGTCTTGAGTAGTAAAGCAGACATCTTTACACAGCAGTATTTCAGTCTGAGGGGGAGGTAGTGTTAGACTAGCAGACTTCAATGGACTTCACTATCAAATTAAACCTTAATGGGTAAGTTCAACTTTTTTGGGAAAAAAATAAATGCTCATATTTTTGCAGGAAAAACATGCATTTATTTTTTCCCTTGGGAGCTACAAAGCATTGCACCTGTGATCAGTGGATTGGGAATGCAATGTCTGGTTCCAACAGACAAGCCCTGCAGCTGCCAGCCCGTACGTCTGACATGGGCTGACTGTTTACAAGCTTCAGGGCTTGTGAATGAACTACAACAGTGTCAGTGTCAGTTGATTGAGAACCACAAGCGGTCAGCTGCAATGGCTGATGGTACTTGTAGTTCTCTCATTCAAAGAATTCTGAATGAGCAACGGCCGCTGTATTTTCAAAATGTGACAGCGGTTGTAGAAGAAGATGATTCCTGCCCGCTGTCACAGAGAGAGGGGGGAGGGATTGGGTGTGCAGGAGGAAGGTCTGGAGCATTCTACACGTTACACCTGAATTACTGGTGTAATGTGTAACATATTTTGAAAGGTGAACTTATTCTTTATAGGATAAGTTCATCTTTTGACAAAAAAATTAATAAATGCACATTTTTTTGCTGGTAAAAAAAAAGTGTGTTTTTTTTTGCAGATGCCTGTAAAGAATTGCACCAGCAATCAGCAGATCTCCTGCAGGCCTGCCAGTATATCTGCTTCCCCGTAAGGAATGTGCGGGCAAGCAGAGATACTGATAGGTAGAATCATTGAACTACTGCGGTGCTCACAGCGCCGTGGTAGTTAATTGAGAACTACAAGCCGACAGTCAGTAAGGTGCAGCTCTACAAACAATATCTTTATAACAATTATGTGAAATAACTCATGAGAAAAGATAATTGTCCAATGTAATAATATCGGATGTGGTAAGCAGTTCAATTATGAAAAAACTTTAAAATGAAAAAAAATAAAAATTTATTAAATCCAATGTGAAAAAATCAAATAGTGATTAGATGTTTTTTACAGCCTCTTCTACTGGCTACAGGCTGCAGGCATGTGCTTTGTAATCCCTATTTGATTTTTTCACATTGGATTTAATACATTTTTATTTGAAATACTACACTATGAGTACCTTTACTTCTTATATCTGGCACTGAGTTCTCATACCTCAGCCCCAGCTTTTTTAGGCTTCTGCGTGGATCTAAGGAGCAGTGTGATCCGACCAGACCAATATCTACTTATCATTGAGGGACCACCCGGGTACCACCAAGCAGCGCCTGCATGAGACCTCAGCTACATGTGACCTGTACATGCGCATTGAGATTGCGCTTCTGGTAAGTGGGCAATCTATCTATCCCTCGATATTGGATTACACCAACGTTTTTGGAAGGTTTTTCATAATTGAACTGCTTACCACATCTGATATTATTACATTGGACAATTATCTTTTCTCATGAGTTATTTCACATAATTGATATAAAGATATTGTTTGTAGCGCTGCACTTTTATTTTGTCAATTTCAGCTGGAAAGGTTTTGTGGTTCCTTTTAGTGCATTTGCTGCTCACTGGAGTGCGCTCACTAACTTATCTACAGACAGTCAGTAAGGGTCCTTTCACACGGGCGTTTCATATGTCTGTTTTTCATTTCTCTATTTACGGATGAAAAATGGACACTAATGTATTTCTATGGACTAGCAGATGATCATCTGTTTAATATCCACATCCGTTAACATACATTTTTTTAAATGGAAGAAAGCCCTATTTTTCTTCCGTAATAATAAAATGGAACGGATGTCAACGGACATCTGGCCTGTTTTTGTATCAGTTTTTGCATTGGTAAAGTAAAAAAATGTAGAAACTGTAAAAGAATCAGTTTTTTTTTTTTAAAAAAACTTGAGTGAACTAATAAAATAACGGAACGCCTGTGTGAAAGGGGAGTAAGGCTGCTGGGACTTGTCATTTTCTC